AAGCTGAGGCAGGAGGATTATTTGAGGCCAGGAGTTTGAGGCCAGCTTGGGCAAAATAGCAAGACCTTGTTTCCACAAAAAACAAAACAATTTAACCAGGTATGATGGTGCATGCCTGTAGTCCTAGCTACTTGGGAGGCTAAGGTGGGAGGATCACTTGAGCCTAGGAGTTAGGGGCTGCAGTGAGCTATTGTCACACCACTGTACCCCAGCCTGGGTGACAAAGTGACATCTTGTCTCAAAAAAAATAAAATAAATAAATAAATAAACTCAGTAACCTGTCTCCAAAGACCAGACCCTCAACTCCCTTAACTATAGTGCTGTGCAATGGTATATATTTGTTTTTCTTGTCCACTTTCCCCACTGACTGTGAAGTCCCAGAGGACACAAAGACAAGTTGTTTCTATATACTCAGCATGCAGCCCATGAGAGACATCGCCATATGTTGGTGTATAAGAAACAGCAAAGCAGCTCCTGACCTCCAAGAGCCAGCCTGACACTCACAGCTGGGCCGCGGCCTTCTCCTGTTGAACATAAACAATTTCACAGAACATCAACAGCAGACAAGGCCACTCTGTGACCGTGAAGGATCAAGACACAAAGACCACTCCATAATCATGTCTGAACACAGACCAAAAAAAAAAAGACATTGTCCAAGTCACAAAAAAGACCCACCATCCCCCTCTCCTTGCTAATGTGAGAGGCTACTGCCTCTTACCTATGACAACGTTAGCCTTGGCCTAGTCTTTCCTCCTACATCAACTTTATTAAGACACCCAGTCATAGAATTACCCCGCTCTTGACAGCATCCAATCCAAAGCCAAGCCCTGCTTCCCTAATTATCTAACAAAAGCCCAAATTCTGTAAGTAGTTCTTTCTTACACCCTCTTCCTGACATGCCCCCATGCATCCCTGCCACATGCGGCCTCCTGCACTACAATGAATGACAAATACAACCTGTTTAATCACAGGTGTGTTCCTGGTGGTCTTTGACTGGAATGGCATTGACACGACCATCATCCATTGATGGATTACTACGCGTAAAATATCACTGTCAAAAGTGACAACATGTTGCTCCCTAAAACTAGCTGATGACAAGAGCAGGAAAAATAGTGGTTGGTTCCTTATGGAAGATGGAGGGCAATTGATTATAAACTGAGAAGGCAACTTTTTTGGGGTATTAGAACTCTTCTACATTTTTAACTACGTGGTAGTTATAACCCATGTTTTTTTTTTTAATTAAGCTATATAATTAAGATTAGTGCACATTACATACTTTATTGTATATCTATTACACCTTGATTAAAAAAGTGTCAACCATCAACTTCAGCAAGTAGTGGTGGGACAAGGAACCCAAAACTGGTCACCCGGTCACTGAAAATCACTGACATGAAAAAAGTCTTTTAAATGCATAAAAAAATAAAAAACAGAGCTGGTCACCCAAATATTAACTTAAAGTACTTTGACAAGAAGGAAAAGGCTGGAGTCAGCATGGCAGCTGATGAGAAGGGAACCTCGAGCTATTGGAGGATGAGATCTATGATGAGGAGGCTAGAAAATCCCACCACTTGCTAAAAATGTAAAGATATTTGGGAAAAAAAAAAAAGATATTTGGGTTGTTTATCCCAGAAGAGACTAGATCAGAAATGTAATTGAACTCAACTATTTTATTTTGCAATAAAATTGGGACCAAGGAAAATCTTCCTAACAGTGACAAAGGAGGCTGTGACATCCCCATCTCTGGGGAATTTTAAACCCGGCTGGCCAGCAAATGGCTCCGTGGCCTGGTCTGGGGGCAGGAGCCTGGAAGAAATGATCTGGAGCTGTTCCTCCCATGACCAGGAGCTCTGGTTTGGCGCGGGTGCTCTGGCCAGCTGCACAGCACCAATTAATTAGCCAAAAGGAGCTACTCTCTGATCTGCACTAAGATTTTTATGTTCTGTGGTCACTGCCACCAGCCACGGCTTTAATTAGGTCTGGAGCTTAATCACCACAATGCAGTGCTGCCATCACCCTCTCCTGATGACTTTATCTTGGCTCCTGGAAGGACGGGGTGGTGACGGTGTGCCAGGAGGACAGTGTGCAGGGACTCTGGACACCGCTGATTTGGGGGGACATGAAGTGGGTGGGTGGAGAGTGCAGCTGTAGGACTCAGCACCTCACCTCAAGGAGCTCAGGAGTTGTTGGAGAATTGAGACCTTCCACCTAGTAAATGGCACAGGGCTGTGGGGGTAAAGACCCCAAATGACAGGAATATACAAATGTCCCAGCAACTGAAAGCAGGTAGACATCCTTCAGGACTGCAGGGGTCAAGGGAAGCTTCACGCAGAGGAGGACCTAGAGGAACTTTAAAGGAAGAACAGGATTACACAGCCGCCAGGCAGGGCAGAGGACCTAGCGGTTCCCTAGGGGAGGGAACGATGAGACCTGACGTATCCTGAGGACGGTGAGGAGGTCCATGGAGCTGGCGCAGGGCGGGGTCGAGGAGGGGGGTTCCTGTCAGAAAGTAGTACGGCCAACACTCCTGCTGGGGGAGGGTTGGGGGAGGACCTGGAATGCCAGGCTAAGAAACTGAGACCTCATTCAGTAGGCAGTAGACAGCCATTGCAAGTTTTTGAGCTGCCTGAATGATCCAAATTTCTTTTCTTTCTTTCTTTTTTTAATTTATTTTTATTTATTTATTTTTTGAGACAGAGTCTTGCTTTGTTGCCCAAGCTAGAGTGAGTGCCGTGGCATCAGCCTAGTTCACAGCATTCCTGGGCTCAAGCAATCCTTCTGCCTCAGCCTCCTGAGTAGCTGGGACTACAGGCATGCGCCACCATGCCCGGCTAATTTTTTCTATATATATTCTTTGGCCAATTAATTTCTTTTTATTTATAGTAGAGACGGGGTCTCACTCTTGCTCAGGCTGGTTTCCAACTCCAGACCTTGAGCGATCGGCCCGCCTCGGCCTCCCGGAGTGCTAGGATTACAGGTGTGAGCTACTGCGCCCGGCCCAAATTTCTTTTCTTTCTTTTTTTTTTAGTTCACCTGGTGAATTAGTTTCCTATGTTTGCTGTAACAAATTACCACAAATGTGTCTTAAAACAATATACATTTATCCTCTCAGAGTTCTGGAGTCCAGAAAGCCAAAACCAAAGTGTCAGCTGGGGCACACTCCTTCTGGGGCCTCAAGGGGAGAACTGTTCCTGCTGAGGTTCTGGCTGCTGCCCACATTCCTTGGCTTGTGGCCACATCACTCTGATCTCTGCCTACGTGGTCACGCCACTTCTCTTCTGTTTTGTGTTTTGTTTTGTTTTGTTTTTTGATCCAAATTTCTTGTGGAAGTTTACAGGACTCGAGGATGGGGCCTTGCCTACCTCCCCAGGTACCTCTCCCTCTTTTGCATCCCTCACACTCTGCTCCAGCCAGCACTGAACTTCCCACACCGTGTCTGAAACATTCAATAACCAGCTGCCTGAACAAAAACACCTTTTTGCAGTTCTCTTAAGTTTCAAGTTCCCAGGCCAGTCAGATTTGCTGACCAGAACTTTGTAATTTTCTTTTTCACTTCCTTTTGAGTTGTTTTTCAGCTCAAGGTGGACCCTCCTTGCAGTAATGAGATAATAATCATAAGGCTTTACACTACCCAGTTGTCCAGAGAAGTCAAGATAAGCAGCATTCCACCACAAATCCTGCCCAAGGACCCGCTGATCATCCTACTCCCTGCAATCTATATGCCCACAAGAGAAAAGGGTGACCAATATTAACACCTAGCTCTTTATACTACTAAAATCTCCACCCTGGGAGGGGCTTACCCACCATTTTTTGCTCATGCAGTGTATGCGCCAGTCTGATTTCTCACTGTAGTGATGCTCACTCACTTCATGCGTTATTCATTTCACCTCTAGAAAAACCCCTGACCTCACCAGCTGGAGCTGTAGGCGGATTTGAGGTTGTCCTCCCACCTCCTGGTTGACGACCTGCACAATAAGCCTCCTTCCTTCCTTGGCAATCCTGTTTCAGTAATTGGCTTTCTGTGCAGCGAGTAACACATAGAAAGTCCCTTGCGGGTTCCTTAACAATTTAACACACTCTCTGTACTCCTGGCTAAGTCGATTCCTTGAGATCTCAATTTTAACACCTCTTCCTCCAAGAAGCCTGGCTGACATTGCCCCCTTTTCCCCAAGCCTAGGCAGGTGCACCTTGCAAGGCTCCAACACTTGCTGTGTCTCCCACACCAGTTCACATATCAGTGAGTTGTAATTATTTATTCGTCTGAGTTCTCTGCTAAACTGTGAATCCTGTTGAGGTTGGAGAGGGTGTCTCGTTCATCAGTGTCGCTAACAACCAGCATCAGGCAGCAAAGCGGGGCGTGGATGCAGATCAGCTGACCTCTCAGGTTCCTCCCTGTTCCTGGCCAGTGAGTGTTTTGAAAAGAACAATGGAAAATCACAGGTGTTAACAAGTGCAAGCTGGTAGGGAATGGGCCCTTAATTTGAATGATCAGTCTTATATTCTCACAGGAAGCAAAGTGTGGGGGAACACAAAACAAGCTCTGTCCACCTCCCCATTTCTCTGAGAATAAAGCGAAGCCATTGCTAGGCACGCCCGAGAACTATTTGAGGAACAGTGAGGCGGAGGGTTACTAACGAGACTGAACAGTAACCCTCCGCTCGAGACCCGTAATCGTGGCTGTTCCTCCTCGGGCCACCAGGGGGAAGAATCGCACCGCATTCCTGGGTCTTGGGCGGTTTCATGCACCCACCCACGGGAGTCGCGTAGTACTCTGGGAATTGTAGTCCTAGGGTTGTGATGCACCATCTCGCGCGGTGCACCTCGGAAGTTGTAGTTTTCGATAGAGAGGCAGAAAATGTTTGTAAGTGCTCGTAGTGAGTCTTGCAAACTACAACTACCAAAAGGCCACGAGTTCTTGGGCGGTTTCTCGTTTCCGTCGAGTTAAACGTCTGAGGCTGCTTCTGAGGGATCACCTTGACTGGGTAAGTTTGACTGGAGAAACCTCCTATCCTCAACTGAGCTGTCTGCAGACTCTACGTATTCCGGCCCGTTTGGGGCCTCTTCGTGTCTCAATCGCAGGACCTGCACATTAATCTTCGTCCTTTCTGTCTGTGGAGACACCGCCAGTATCCACCCACACCTTAACCCTCCCACTGTCGCCTTGCGCTCTCTCTCCCGGCGCCCCTGGAATCCCACCCTGAGCTCTCGTCTCAGGACTCAGTCCTCGCAACCCCATGCCAAGCCCGCAGCCCCACGCTGGACCTCACAGCCTCACCCTGATCGCTCTGCTCCACCCTGATCCTGCAGCCTCACCTCCCTGAAGCCTGGGCTTCCTTATGCTCCTCCACACCTTGTGTGCCTCAGTCTTACTCTCATTTTCTTGTTTTTCACACCAGTGGAGGAAGAGGTCCCCATTCCTTCTTCCCGATCCACGGAACAGCCGTGGACTTGAAGTCAGCAGACCTGTAATCTAGTCCAGCTCAGCCTCTCACTCTGTGACCTTGGGCAAATCCTGTAACTCTAGGACTCTCTTCGTCTCTAAAATGGAGACGACAGTTGCTCCATCAGTCTTAGGGTGAAGCTGTGTGCAGAGCCAATTAGCTAGTATGTGTGAAGGTGATTTGTAAACTGTAAAGCCTCCACAAGCGACAGAGATTATTTTTTATTACAATTATTAATGCTCTGGAACGCCCTTATAGGGGCTCTTTTCCAGCTCTACTACCTTGTTGCTCAAACTCATCCCTTGAGTGCTTCATTCTCGAAAAGCAGGGTGACATTTCCTCACTTCCTCCGGAGAACAAAGATCAGACCAGTGAGCTCTTAGTCTCCAGAGAGCTTTGTCTGAAAGGAGGCACCGGAGAAGTGCTTATCTTGGACTCTGTCCTGAAATATCCAGTGATGAGAGGCCCATACAGCTGGCAGAGGAGCAGTCCTCGGCTCATTAGAAACAGAACCCCAGCAGGAGAGGACAGCTGCATTTTAAGCCCCAGCCATTCCCTCTGGACTCTTCTCGGCCTGTTTAGTAGACTCTGGCTTTGGTGTGGAAGGAAAGAATCCGTTTTGCCAAAGGGTTTAATCCAGGAAAAATGAAAGAGACCTTGGCTGGGTATGATGAAAGAAAGATTTAGCATTGCTAATTAGTTCCTAACATTTATGATCCCTTAAAATGTGCCAGACCCTAGGCAATATCACTTTTCTTATTTAAATTTCACTTAGGAAGTGTCCCCATTTTACATAAAGAACTTAAAGAGGTCATGTAGTTAGTTAAAATAATTATAGCTACCTTCTACCAAAACCGGTGCCTTCTGTGCAGCAGGTACTTTGCATACATTATTTAATCTGCATCAACAGCCTCCTGAGTAGTTTTTTCTGTCATGTGGGATAAATTATCAGAGGTTTACAGTTTAACCTAAAGGATTAAGGTAGGGGGATCACTAAAGCCTTTCTTTTCCGACTATACCGTGTAGCTTTATTTTTAGATCAGAAAGACAGACTAAATAAAAATTGAGATAGTTTAAATCAAGGCCAAATGAAGGATCATTTATTGAGTCCCTGCTATGTGGGGAATGAATATGAATGAATGGTTTGGCCTACAAAGAAGTATAAAACTGTCGTTACCACTGGAGTATATCTGAAGAGATAAGGCATAAATATGTAAGAAATTAAATAGTATTCATTGGATAAATTAATTATTGAGACCAACTTTATACAGTTGCTGCATTAAATCTAGTGGCTGGGTGGATCATCCCAAGTGAAATCATAATCACCATTTAAATGATTTTTAATGGCCAGAACACAATATACACTAAGTGTTTGTTACATGCACACATGTCTGAATAAAAGTCCTTTTGTACCATCTGGACCAGAGGTTCTCAAACCTTGCTGATCAGAAATACCTGGGAAGCTTTTAAAAACTAATTAACCTGTGGGAATAGAGGCCCTAGAATATACACTTTTGAAAAATTTTCTGGGTCATTATATTGATAGGTTCAGGAACCTCTGACCTAGATTCTATATGGACCACTGTTGCAGGCAAGTCACTGATTGAAAACTTCTAGAATGGGTACTAATGCAAGAGTTGCCCTAAGACAGCCTGTGATTGGTTACCAGCTGAGGGATGTGGACAGTGCTCAGAGGCAGGAGAAGGAAAGGTTGGAGGGACTTGGGAAAGCCTCACAGAGGACTAGAGATTTCCCTGGCCTTGATGGATGGAGAGACTTCTGGACAGGCACCACCATGAATTGTTTAGACAAAGTGAACAGAAGAAGGTAAGACACATGGACTGATTTCCTTGGAAAATTCCATGGAATTTTCCATTAGAAACGGTTCTGGATGTTGTGTGGATGCCTCTTAGGCAAAATTTGCAAGTTAGATTGGATTTTCTCATCTTCCCATCCTACTTGGGCATCAGTTGATGTGAGCCTAGTGAACACAGATTCATTTTCGTGTTAGCCTCACTCTGGGCAATTAGCTTCTTTAGTTTGTATTTATTTCTAAACAGAATTTAGTGGATGACCCTCCCAGAAACTTGCCAGGGCACCAGAGAGTTCTGCCCTCCTGTGTGGCTGTTTTCAAGTCCTCTGATACTGATTGCCTTCCCAAGCACTGCTCTCTGTGCAGGGTGAGACAAAATCTCTTCCTGTGAGAAGCTTAGAGACTTTTGTCCTGGTTACCCAATCCTGATATCTGACTCATCTTTTGGCTCTTTTCTCTCTCTGGACTCTCCACGTCCACTCAGTTGCCAAATCCTATTCAGTTGTTACTGCTTTTCTCTCAATCAACAAATATTTCTTGGATTCTTCTTAAAAGCCTAGTACTACACTAGGCACTTTAAATGCATCATTTCACTTTATCTCCATAGCAACCCTGTGAGGATGGATAGTATTCCCACTGTACAGATGGGGAGTCAGGCTTTGAGAGATCAGATGACTTGCCGGGGGTAAGAAAGCCAGGAGGCAAGAGCCGGGCCTCAGGTGTGGCTCTTTCAGACTTAGTATTTTTTTTTTTTTTTTTTTTTGAGACAGAGTCTCGCTTTGTTGTCCAGGCTAGAGTGAGTGCCGTGGCGTCAGCCTAGCTCACAGCAACCTCAAACTCCTGGGCTCGAGCGATCCTTCTGCCTCAGCCTCCCGAGTAGCTGGGACTACAGGCATGCGCCACCATGCCCGGCTAATTTTTTATATATATATATCAGTTGGCCAATTAATTTCTTTCTATTTATAGTAGAGACGGGGTCTCGCTCTTGCTCAGGCTGGTTTTGAACTCCTGACCTTGAGCAATCCGCCCGCCTCGGCCTCCCAAGAGCTAGGATTACAGGCGTGAGCCACCGCGCCCGGCCAGACTTAGTATTTCTTACATCCAGAGTAGATTCCAGGTCCTTAGCCCAGCACTTGAGGAACTGCTACCCTCCAAATCTGGTCTCCTTGTGTCCTGTTTCTCATATTACTGTGCCTTTGCTCACCACTGACCTCTGCTTGCATGTAAGCCAGCCTCACTCACCTTCTCTGCCCTCCATCCTCAAGCTAAAGGAGCACTTTTTCTTCTCAGAACTCCTGCAGTATTTTGTCTGTTTCTCTTTTATGACAGTTAGAACTTGTAGCTGCTTCATTGTCACGTGGGTGACGCGTGTCCTATGTGTGACACGTCTTGTGGCCCCAGCTGTAGGTCTTCAGTGTGTATAGTGTGTATACCCTAACAGCAAGGAGGTAAAGGTCAGGGTCTGAGGCCAAATGGCGCTTATCTAGCTTGACTCTGGCTGAACAATCTACTGCCTGCATCAGGAGCTTAGCTTCTTTTTTTAAAAAATAATTGGCTTTGTTTTTAAATTTTGCTTGAGAGAAACAAAATGAAAAAGTTAAGGCTATAGTAAAAAGAAAATCATTTATTTTCTTCCAAAAATAAATAGAATGACATTATGGTTATTTGGGGTTTTCCACTGGACCAGACAATTGGCAGTTGACAATCAGGAGATCTGTGTGTTGTAATAACAGTTCTGCTTATATCTCGAGCATCTCACTTAATCTCTCCAGACCTTGGTTTCTTCATCCGTGAAGTGCATGTATATACTGGGGAGAGGGGAAGGCAACTGTGAGGGGTATTGATAGAAATGGTCTCTAAGATCTCTTCTTGCCCAGACATGCCTTGACTTGAACTCCCTGATCCCTCCTGGAGAATCTTAAAGGAAGCAGAATAATTTAATGATTAACAATGTGGGCCCAGGACTCAGTGTATCCATTTAGATGCTTTGGTTGAAAGAAACAGAAATCTAAATTCAGTTTGTTTAAAGAAGAAAGGGAATGTAGTGATTCATGTAACTAGAAAGTCTCTAGGAGTGGGTCAGGTTCCAGGTTTGGCCTAATCCATGGATTCCTAATGTCTTCACGAATGTGACTCCATTTCTCTGTGATTCTCTCAGTTCTGCTATCCACCATGGTTGCAAAGTTCAAGGCAACCGTTGAAAGCCACTTGACAGGTGACATCTGCACATCACACTAATTCAAAACAAGAGAGAACTTTTCTCTCCTCCACTATTGAACCAAAGTTCTGGGCTTTACTCAGAAAAAGTAAATTGGACCAACGTAATGTCATACGTCCATTCTTCATCCAAATACTGACCAGCAGATAACAAGGACTGATTGGCTCAGGTTAATTAAGGCCCAATTCTGGAAGTTTGGGAGGGGTTGGCCCCACCCAAATCACAAGGCAATGGATCCTAGGAAGTTTGACCACATTCCCCAGTTACAGTCACGTTGCCCATGAACAAATTCTGGCTGTACTTGCTGTATGTTCTTGGGTAAATTACTTAACTTTATCAAGCATCAGTTTCCTCATCTGTAAAATGAGATAATAATACATATCTCAGAGGATTGTTGTAAGGATTAAATTAAATAATATATGTAAAGCACTTAGAATAGTTCCTGGCACAGAGTAAGTATGATGATGATGACGAAATTGAACAGAGGTAGGGAGCAATGGCACTAGCCTCAATTTAGGAGGTAGCTAAGAGTTTTATCTAGCCAGAAGTGTGCTCACCTGTCATGTTAAGGTTCCTGTTTGATCTACTGCCCACATCATACTCTTCCCTGTCTCTGCCTTTCTTTGCTTTTGTGCGTTGTCTGGAAGTGCTTTCCTCCCTCTCCCCTGTTTCTCTAAACCTCATCGTTCATGGCCTAGCACAAGTGCCACCTTATAATCAATAGTCTAGGTCAGTGACTTTCATGTATATAACTGAGTCTCCCCGTGAGCAAGATCAGTAATGGTCAAGAGCTCTCAGCTTCTGGATTAGACAGACCTGGGTTTGCCACCTATATGCAGGGTAACAGGAAAGTTACTCAACCTCCCTGCCCTTATTTTCTTCATGTGTAAAACAGGGTCTTGACAGTACTGACCTCAAAGAGTTGTTGAAAGAATGAAATGATGCAATGTATGTAGAAGGCTTAATATAGTGCCGCAGAGTCACTTACAGATCTTAGTGGTTACTGTCAGCCTCATGAGGGCAAGGTCTGTGTTATGGTCTCTGCAGCAGTCATTGCTATGCTGGGCACCTAGCAGGTGCTGTTAAACACTTCTTAGTAGGTTTTAACAGGAGTGTGGATGCTCTCTCTCTCCTCTTCACAACCACCTCTTCACCCCACCAAAAAAAAAAAAAAAAAAGCCCTTACAAACCTTGACAAAGTAGAGGATGTGAAAGATTTAATGAGTGACAGGCAGGGAGGACAGAGTGGTAAGGAAGGTGGACGGGGTGGCACATGACACATCTAAGCAACAGGAAACCAAGAGGAAACCAGCAGGAAGCTGTTCTATGTTCTGCCCCCCAGACATCAAGTTCAGCAGCACCCAAGTCATTGGATTCACCTGTGATGAAATGGGGGTCAGCCAGTCCGTGGGTTTTCCACCTGTCACAGGACCCCACCTCGTAGGCTGCGGGGATGTGATGGAGGGCCAGAGTCTCCAGGTGAGTGTCTCCAGCTCTGTTCCTGCAACGTGACTTACTGATCACAAGTCTGATTATGTAATTCCATGTGGGGGAAATTGAGTTAGAGCTGGTCTGGATTTGGTTACCATACCCCCAGGTCTGTCTTTCCTGACCTATTTCTTCCTCTTTCCACATACTAGAAACATCCTAATAGACAGAGATGGTGGGCACTTTTTCCAGCCAGGAGGAAAGAGGGACTCTAGCTTCAAAGGTAGCTCGCAGATCTTCTCACCTGGTTGAGGGCAGATGCCTGATCCTGAAAAGGGTTTTCGATCTCATCCTAACCAAGTATGTAAGAGGAAGAGCATGGGCCCACGTGCCATTGGCCTTGAGCTCTCCAGACTGGGTAGGAGGACAGTTTCCTTTTCTCCTTTCCTGCCTCCTTCTCTTTTCCTTTCCTGATTTGGCTTCTGGACTTGCCTTCCATCAGTTCCTAGATCTTTCTCTGCTAGCCCATGGACTCCCCCCTGTGAGAGGCACACACTTCCTGGTAACCCTTCACCTACTCCCATGTAAAATGAGTGTGCTTCCCGAGAGCCAAGCCTTGCTGAGTTGCTGGGTGACCACCAATGCCACCCTGTTCAGCACAAGGGCTAATCTCTAGCTCAAGGCCAGATCTAAATCTTTCAATGTCCCAAACACTCAATATATTTTTGGTACATCCCCCGGATGTAATCAAAATATAGCACTATTTGAAATAACATAAGCTTTACATGTATGCTTAAAAATAAAATTGTTTCTGAGTTTCTGGATGTAAAATTCAGGTATTTTAATTGAAACTTCAGTTTTCCTGTTTTGGTGCCCCATTTTGCTGGTGCCCCAATACCTGCTGAGTGTGTCTGTTGGGAAATCTAGCAGTGCTTGGGCTTCTTGCTCTGAGCAGCTGCTCTCTTCTTTCCTACAGGGGAGCTTCTTTCGACTCTTCTACCCCTGCCAAGAGGCAGAGGAGACCACGGAGCAGCCCCTGTGGATTCCCCGCTATGAATACTGCTCCGGCCTGGCGGACTACCTGCAGTTTAATAAGCGCTGGGGCGGGCTGTTGCTCAGCGTGGCTGTGGGTAAGGGCTGGCTTGACCCCCAGGTGCTTGGTTATGTTCCTAGGTGATCCGCAACCGACACACTCCCTTATAGCTTGCAGTGTCCAGCCCTGTTGTAGGGGGCATCTGTCAACTAGCATGGTGTGGGGAATTGGGAGAGAAGTACATACATAAGAGCCTGGGATAGCAAGTTAGACTCTTCTGGATTTGAATCAAGACTTTATAATTTACTAGCTGTGGGCTTGGGCAAGTTACTTAACCTGTCTGAACAGCTGCCTTTGCAAGGTTGTAGTGTGGGACGCATGTAAAGCCTCTTGCAGTGCATGGGACATGGAATGTGTTCCATAAGTGGCACCTGTTACTCATTCAGCATGTAGTATTTCCCACTCTGTGCCAGCTACTGTGTATATCACAGAAAGATTCTTAACTATCAAGGAGCATTCAGTCTCCTGCTGTTCTCTCTCCAGTGCTCCCTCTTCTGGGTGAGGTAAGATTGAATCATCCACTTCCCCCAACGGCCCCACCCCTAGGAACTCTACCCACTGCCTTGGCATCTCAGTGATTGACCCCAGGGTTGCTCATACTGCCCCTTTGATTTGTCCTCCCATTTTCTATTGTGTTCACTCTTTCCGGGGAAGAAAAGGGGAAAGAATAGGTGATTGGTTGCTCTGGGCTGCTCAGGGGCCCATGGGGGTTCTCCAAGGGGAGGAACACATGTCCTCACCCATCCCTGTCTTCCAGCTGCCCTTGGGATTACAGCTTTGGGGCAGCCAGAGATTCTACAGCCCATGTCTTTTCTAGGATCTTGTCGCCTGCCTGTTAGCTGGAATGGCCCATTTAAGACAAAAGACTCTGGATACCCCTTGATCATCTTCTCCCATGGCATGGGAGCCTTCAGGTGAGAGCTTCTCTCCCCCGGACCTTGCCATATTCTTTGCCTAGTGAACAGCTGCAGTCTTAACTTATTCTCAAAGGGCAGAAAAACAGACATCTCCATTTGCTGGCTGTCTTATCTCCCATCTACCTCATCCCATAGCTCTGGGGCCACCTTCTCTGGAAGGTCCTTCCCAAGCCACTTTCACCTGGTGGAGCCTTTCTGCAGCCTTCACATCCTTCACTTCTCATGTTCCAACATTTATATAAATACTTGTTTTCAGCTTTCTTCCCTGTGCCAGCCCATAAATATTAGAAAGAGCATGAGCTTTGTAGTTGGAGAATTATCTATCCTTTTTTTTTAGTTATCCCCTCCTCTACTCTGAAGGAAGAGAATTATCTATTCAGTGTTTGTTGAGGGCCTAGTAGAGAATAGTGAGTAAGACAGACCTGCTCCCTGCACTCGTGGAGCCAGCAGCCTAGCCTACAAATCTCAGTCACACCACTTGTGCTCTGTGTGAGCTAGGGAAAGTTGTATAATCCTCTGAGCCTCGATTTCATCATCTGTCAGGTGGAGATGCCGCTCCCACAGGGTGGTGTGTGAGGATTCAGTTCTATTAACTTCTACTGGGTGTATACCTGTGTCACTTCCCCTCTCTCTCTATATATATATTTTTCCCCTCCGGGTTAGGGTGCTGTGGCGTTAGCCTAGCTTACAGTAACCTCAAACTCCTGGGCTCAGGTGATCCTCCCACCTCAGCCTCCCAAGTAGCTGGGACTACAGGCATGCACCACCATGCCTGCCTAATTTTTCTGTCTTTTAGTAGAGATGGGGTCTCGCTCTTGCTCAGGCTGGTCTTGAACTCCTGAGCTCAAACGATCACCCACCTTGGCCTCCCAGAGTGCTATGATTACAGGTGTGAACCATTGTGGCAGGCCTTTTTTTCCTGAGACAGAATCTCACTCTATTGCCCAGGGTAGAATGCCATGGCATCAGCCTAGCTCACAGCAACCTCAATCTCCTGTGCTCAAGCAATCCTACTGCCTCAGCCTCCCAAGTAGCTGGTACTACAGGCATGCACCACCATGCACAGGTAATTTTTCCTCTATATATTTTAGTTGTCCAGCTAATTTCTTTCTATATTTTTTTAGTAGGGACAGGGTCTCGCTCTTGCTCAGGCTGGTCTTGAACTCCTGAGCTCAAATGATCCTCCCACTTTGGCCTCCCAGAGTGATAGGATTACAGGTGGGAGCCACCACACCCAGCTCCCTCTCTCTTTTTTACATAGAGGGATATAGTGATGCTAAACTGTAGAATCTCTTTTTACCAGACTTTGGGAATCCTTGCTCTAAGTTTCATAATTCAGTGTCCATTCAAAATTCTTCCCATGAATTCTGATTTCTATACTTTGGTATATTATATAGCTTAATACCCATAGTATATGTGTTCCTATTTAAGTTTGTGAATGTTCTGTCTGTTCATCCATCAGCATATATGTCTAATTTATGTCCCAGAATGTTATACATCTCAAAGGCATCTATTTTTTCCTCCCCAGCTCCCAAACCATTGTCCACACTATAGCCAGGGAGACCTATTTTAAAACCAAATATGATTTTATCATTCAGGCACCTAAAACAGTGCCAGGTATATATTAGGTACTTAATAAATATCTGTTGAATGAATGAATGAATGCCTCTGCCCTACTTAAAACTTCTAAAGTTTAAAAAAAATTTTTTTAAGAGATGAGGTCTTGCTGTGTTGCCCAGGCTGTAGTGCAGTGGATAAAAACTTTTAATAGCTCTTTGAACTTAATTCTTTTCCCGGTCATACCTGGATGCAGTTCCAAGACAAAATTTCCAGCCTCGTTTCTTGCTACTTGCCCCACTCCAGCTCTCCAGACAGACTGACCTCCTTTCACTTAGTTAAAGGCACAGTGTTATTTCCTGCCTTGAGGTCCTCATCTGTGCTTTGTGGTTGTTCCCTTTGCCTGGAATATTCACTGCTCTGCTCTTCTCTTCCTCCCTCACCCCCTCTTTTGCCTAGCTAATTTCAAATTACCTTTAAGATCTCAATTTAGATGTCACTGTCTTAGAGACACACATCCTGAATCGTGTATTGCATTAGTTTAACCTTTCCAGTCATATGCTTTCATACTACAGTCTGTACTTCTCATTATTCAGCATAATTGTAATGAATTAATTGTGTATTTATTCTTTAATGTCTGTCTTCCCAACTAGATTATAAACTCCATGAAGGCAGAAACCTATCTCTGTTGCTCTAGTGCCTAGGACAGTGCCTGGAAAGTAGTAGTTTCCCAATAAATGTTTACTGAGTAAACACAAGAGCTGTGATCTGCTAGGTTCTCATTCAGTCAGCAGACATCTGTGAAGCACCTGCTCTGTGCCAGCCCCTTGGCAGGAGAGGAAGCTGGGACATACAGAGAGAAATAAATCAAGGAAGTTGTATCCACCAGAGGAGCCAAGGGTAAATTCACACAGCTATAGCCCATGGCAGGAAGTGGAGAGTAGATGTGGAAATGCAGCTAGGCAGCAAGTAGATGGTTTTTCATGTTTTTCATGCTTTTGTATTCAGTAAACTGAGTACCTGCTGTGTGCTAGGGCTGTGCCAAGGTTGGACTTTCAGTAGTGAAGAAAATAGAGTTCCTGACTTCAGGAAGATTATAGTCTAGTAGGGAAAAGGAAGCGAAAAAACATTCCCTCCTAAGCTCACAGGTATTTATAGAGGGAGCAGGTGAGCACATGACTTTAGAAGTGATCTTTTTAGTTGAAGAATCTGAATTGAGACTTCACACTTCATTAGATCTGGGTGAGCCAGTTATAGTCTTCATTAACCAGAGTGAAGTTCAAAGAAAAAGAGAGGGAGAATAAGAGATATTGGTTCCTCTTAATTCCATCTATGGCTAATTTGGGCTTTGAAATTCTTCTTATGGGTCATAGACCTATGACTTTTCATCCCAGGGAAGAATATGTTCATTTAAATACTATCTAAAGGTTAGTGATATGCCATTGTCACATTTGGTTCCCACAGAGCCAACTGCCTACTGTGAGGTAGGCAGGAGGGTAGGCATATTTTTCAGATGAGCAAACAGGCTCTGAAAGGTAGACTTTCTCCAGGTCCCACAGTTAGAACTGGGAAGGGGTCACATATCTCTCTGGCTCTTGATTCCAGTTCATTGCCTCCCCTGGAAAAGTGAGAGAAGGTGAAAAGAAACTTAAGAAATGGACCTTCCTGTATGAATTAGGATATGGGCAAGCTGTAGTTAATAGAAAGCCTAATTTGAAATCTAGAAAACCGAAAACCAAATACTAGTGGTTAGAAAACCAAATAGTAGTGACTTAAACATGATAAAGTTTATTTCTCTCTCAGATGAAGACAGCTGGAGGGTGACAGTTAGGGTTGATATGGTAGTTCCATGAAGTTATCAGAGAACTAGACTTCTTTTAAAATCTTGATCTGCCATGGGTAGCTTCCATTTCTAAGGATATGTCATGACCCAGGGTAGCTGCTGTAGTTCTAGCCATAACATCCACAGTCCAGGCAATAGGAAGGGAACACACTTCATTTTAAGGACATTTCCTGAAAGTTCTATATGACACCACTGCTTACATCTCTATGGCTAGAGCTGCTCTGTCCATACTGGTATGGACAGCTGCATGTGGTTATTGTACACTTGAACTGTGGCTGGCCCAAACTGAGACCTGCTACACGTGTTATTAAAATGTACACTAATTTCAAACACTTCATATTTTTTACAAAGAATATAATAAAATATTTCATTAATGTTAAAATTGATAATATATTACAGTTAAAATATTTTAGCTATAATGGGTTAAATAAAATATATTGTTAAAGTTAATTTCACGGCTGGCCAGGCGCGGTGGCTCACGCCTGTAATCCTAACACTTTGGGAGGCTGAGGTGGGTGGATTGCTCAAGGTCAGGAATTCGAAACCAGCCTGAGCAAGAGCAAGACCCCATCTCTACTATAAATAGAAATAAATTAATTAGCCAACTAATATATATATAGAAAAAAATTAGCCAGGCATGGTGGCACATGCCTGTAGTCCCAGCTACTTGGGAGGCTGAGGCAGGAGGATTGCTTGAGCCCAGGAGTTTGAGGTTGCTGTGAGCTAGGCTGACGCCACGGCACTCACTCTAGCCTATGCAACAAAGCGAGACTCTGTCTCAAAAAAAAAAGTTAATTTCACCTGTTTCTTTTTGTCTTTTAAAAGATGTCTACTAGAAAGTTTTAAATTACTTATGAGGGTAGCATTATATTTCTGTTGGACCATGCTGGGCTAGAGCTTAACCACACAGACAAACCTGGCTGCAATGGAGGAGAGGAAATGAAGTATGTTGATGGCATGACAGTGGCTTCAACTGCAAATACTATTCTGTTATTAAGGAGGAAAGGAAAAATAAATGTTTGGAGTAGGCAATTAGCAGTGTCTCCCATATTCTTTTTTCCCTAGGAAGTTGGCAGACAGACCAAAAAAATCACAGATGAGTTGCATATTAAAGAAATAGCCAGAGTCTCTGTCTTCAAGGAGATTACCAACTAAATTGGGAGATGTACAATATATAGACAATAAAAATGCAATTGAAGTAGCCAAAATATGTTTGTAACTTGGGGCTGAGCTGACTCACTGTTTGTATGGGGGTTGGAAGATACCTTGACAGATGTGCAGATATTTCTGGCGGCTGGCTAGAGCGAGCACCTGGAGGAGGGCTGCCCCCCATGAACCTCCTACGTTCAGTCTGTTGATCCCTTCTCCCTGTTCCATTTCTAGGACATTGTATTCAGCCTTCTGCATGGAGCTGGCCTCCCATGGCTTTGTGGTTGCTGTGCCGGAGCACAGGTAAGGGATGATAGTCATAATGAACTGTCGTGAATTGGGTACCTGCAGTGAACTAGGATATAGGCCAGTTCCTTACCAATATATTATTTCTAATCCTCCTAACAACCATGCAGGGCAGGTAATATAACCATTTTAAAGAGGAGAAAATCAAGGTTCAAAGATGTTAAATAACTTGCCAAAAGTGACACAGCTGAGTTGGGATTCAAACCCACGTCTATCTCTAAAATCCGTGTTTTTTCTACTCTCCTAAGTATGCCACCAGATATCCTTCCCTACTGGCCTATGGGCAATCCACAGCCAACAGTGTCTTGGCTGAAAGAGAGGAGTCAGTAAAGGGGAGAAATAAGCTCAAAAGTGTCTTCTGGATTCTCTCTGATGACATGTATATTTCAGGGACCAGTCAGCTGCAACCACCTATTTCTGCAAGCAGGCCCCAGAGGAGAACCAGCCCACCGAGTCGCTGGAGGAGGAATGGATCCCTTACCGTCGAGTTGAAGAAGGGGAGAAAGAATTCCACGTTCGGAATCCCCAGGTAATCTTGTGCCAATTGGGGAGGGGTAGTGAATAAGCCTGTCCTCTCTATACTATACTCACTAAGCAAGAATTTTAACTAACTGTGTCTCTTGAAATCTCAACCATAGTGGGTCTGAGTTTGCCACATCAGTGCGAATGAATGAATGGGGTGTTAATTAGGACTCTTACAATTGCCAGTGACAGAAACCCAACTTGAGCTTGCTTAGGTGCAAAAGGGGATTGACTTGTATAAGTAGACTATAGGAAGGGCAAGACCACTGGAACCAGGCTCGAATGCCACCAGGCCTTGCTCTTCACTCTTGTCTCTGTCTCCCTCCTGGTTGATTGGTCTCATCTGCAGATGGGCTCACTTTCTGAGGTTAGAACCACAGCTTTTGACAGTGCTGAGCTTGCATATGTTCAGCCTCATCATCTGAGAGAATAGGGCAGTGTTCAAGTTGCTTCTCCCAGTCCCCTCACCCAGATGTCAAGCTGCAATCTGAAAAATCCTGGAGAGGTATCCCTGGCCTGAGGAGAGGTACCAAAATGGGAAGTTCCCACCAGCAATACATCGTTAGATTTGGGGGCAGAGGGAAGGCAGTCTTCAAAAGGAAAGGTTAACAGGAGAAGTGTGGGGGGCTGTATAAGTGCTAGGCAGACAAAAATGATAGCTGTGTGCTATAAATGGGCAGGTAGAATCCAGTACTGGATGGCTAATAAGAAGATTCTTAATTCCTTTTGTGTTCAGTGTGCTTTCACATACATCATCTCATGGGATCCTCCTGACAACCCTATGGGTAGGTAGAGTGCAAACAGTAGGGCTGATTCCATTATGCTGTTAGGTAGTGCTTACGTGAGCTGTGAGGGAGCTGAGCCTTTCTCAGGAAGAGAAAGGGGCCCACAGTGCTTGCTGAGATGTGGGTGGGCAAACTACCCTTGCATTCTTCCTTGGCTCTGCAGGTGAGTGAGATTCTCACTGGGTGGTAAGGAATGTTCTAGCTCCCACCGGGACTGTCTGTTGCAGGTGCATCAGCGGGTAAGCGAGTGCATTCGGGTGTTGAGAATCCTACAAAAGGCCGCTGCTGGGCAGACCGTCCTCAACATCTTGCCTGGTGGGTTGGATCTGATGACCTTGAAGGTATGGCAGCAATTGGTATGACCCAGAGCCCACTTATTCATCAGGACTTTCTTGGTCATAAGTAACAGAAACCTAATTTATTAGCTTAAGCCAAAAGAAAATATATTGGCTCACGTAACAAGGAAGACCAAAGGTAGACTTTAGGCCAGTGTAGTCAGATCCAGGGTCTCAGACATTATCATCAAAGCTTTGGCCCTCTTTTCTTCCTTCTCCTGCTTCAGTTTCTCTGTGCATATGTGGGCTTCATTCATACCAGACCTTTAGACAAGAAAGATGGTTGCTAGTATCTCAAGCGTGAATGTCAGTTTACAGCTCCAGATTTAAATTTCTGTAGAGATAGGGGTCTCACTATGTTGCTCATAGGCTGGTCTCGAACTCTTGGCCTCAAGCAATCCTCCTGCCTCAGCCTCCCAAAGTGCTGGGATTATAGGAGTGAGCCACCACACCCGCCCTACACTCCAGATTTAAAAAGAAAAGAGGGCCGGGCATGGTGGCTCATGCCTGTAATCCTAGCATTCTGGGAGGCCGAGGCAGGTGGATTGCTCAAGGTTGGGAGTTCAAAACCAGCCTGAGAGAGACCCTGTCTCTACTAAAAATAGAAAGAAATTAATTGACCAACTAAAAATACATATACAAAAAAAAAAAATTAGCCGAGCATGGTGGCACATGCCTGTAGTCCCTGCTACTCGGGAGGTTGAGGCAGGAGGATCGCTTGAGCCCAGGAGATTGAGGTTGCTGTGAGCTAGGCTGATGCCACGGCACTCACTCTAGCCTGAGCAACAAAGTGAGACTCTGTCTCAAAAACATAAAATAAAATAAAACAAAATAAAAAGAAAAGAGAATTTGTTAGCTTCTACTAATCTGGGAAGGCTGTGGCCTTACTTGGGTCACATGCCCCTTCTGGGCAAGTCGTTGATTCAGACGAGAGTATATTCTGGTTGGTCTGCCTAGGTTATAGACCCATTTCTGGGTCAGGGGATTGAGGGCCCCACCAGGGCCAATGGATAAAGGAGAGGTGCTTCATTCCACAAAGGAAGGGCTACCAAGTGGCAAACAGTTTGTGTCTACCGCAGTTTGTGTCTACTGTAGATTCCTTTGAGGGAATCTCCAGAATGCTCCCAGAGGGATATGCAACCTTCCTGGCTATGGAATTTGGTGCCTATGAAGGTACATTCTCCACACCCTATTCCCAATCTTTTTCCCCCCTAATTTCAAAAATAGCTCAGACTCTGTTTAGAGAACCAAGAAATCACACAAAAGCATGAAGAAAATGAAACATTTGATTTTTTTCCTCCCAGTTCTTTTAAAATACATTAACAAGCCAAGCACAGTGGCATATACCTATGGTCCCAGCTACTAGGGAAACTCAGTGGGAGGATCACTTGAGCTTAGGAGTTTAATGCCAGCCTGGGCAGCATAGTGAGACCCCATCTATAAAAATTTTTTTAATCAAATGCCTTAACATATATGTATATTTTTTAAAACAAAAATGACATATAAGCTGTTTTATAGCCTTTCTTCACTTATCAAAATAGTATGAGTACCCTCTCATAGTAATTATATTTTTCTATGGCATGATTTTTAAAATTAAAAAATAATTGCTTTAGAGATGGGGTCTCACTATGTTGCTCAGGCTGGACTCAAATTCCTGGGCTCAAGTGATCCTCCTATATGGCATGATTTTTAATAGCCATGTAATATTCTATTGTCTAAATAAGAATGGTGTATATATTTGTATGTGTATATGTATATATATAATATGTTACTATATATATTACTATATATTATTGCTTTATGATTACTTATTGTGATAAGAGCTCCTCACACAAATTTATGAAATAAGCATTATTACCTCCTTGTATAGAAAGAAACCAAGGATAAAAAAGACTAAGTATCTACCCAAGATAACTGAGCTAAGTGGTAGAGTCAAACTTTAAACTGGGCTTTTTGATCCTAAAGTCTGTGCTGTGTGCCCCAAAGCTGCTTCAGAAAATATATTTTAAGGGCTTTGGGAATGTCCTTCAGGAAGAAGTATCTGCCTACATGGCCAGTAGGTAAGGTAGACCCTAGAGTCTAGGGTGCTTTACCAACTGCAGTAGGTATTTGTGCCATCAACCCCCATCAGAATAGGAGAGGGCCCTGGGCACTGCAGTCCAGGCCTGCAGGCCTGTGTGCCTGAGACAGGTTGGGGAATGGCAGGCTGCAGTCCAGTTGTGTTAGTTCAGAGGCAGTCTTTTGGGAGAAATACAGAATAAAAAAGCTAAGTGAATTTTCATCTATCAGATTGAGTAAGATCCAGGAATTGATTACTCACTCTGTTGACAAAGCTGTGGGGAAGTAGATATTCTCCTACATTGCTGGTGAGAGTACAAATTGCCCCATGGAAGGCATTTGGCAATAGCTGTCAACAGTACAAATGCACATGTTATTTGACCCAGCCATTTCCAGTTGGGGAATTTATCCCACAAATACACACATGCAGCTTGACGGATGTACAGTGTTATTCATTCTGGTATTGTTATAATAGCACAAGATGGATAGTAACTTAAATGCTCACCAATGAGGGAACTGATTTAATAGATTATGGAACAGTGTTAGTTAATGCTAAATTGCTAAAGCACATAAACCTCATATCTCAGTGGCTTAATACAATAGAAATATGTTTCTTTTTTTGGTGCCGCAACAAAACTTTATTGGTAGACACTAAATTTGAATTATATGTAATTTCCATGTGTCACAAAATATTCTTTTGATGTTTTTTTTTTTTTTTTCAGACCAGAGTCTCACTCTGTTGCCCGGGCTAAAGTGCTGTGGTGTCAGCCTAGCTCACAGCAAACTCAAACTCCTGGGCTCAAGCAATCCTCCTGCCTAAGCCGTCCGAGTAGCTGGGACTTTAGGCATGTGCCACCATTCCCGGCTAATTTTTTCTATGTATTTTAGTTGGCCAATTAATTTCTTTCTATTTTTAGTAGAGATGGTGTCCTGCTCTTGCTCAGGCTGGTTTTGAACTCCTGACCTTGAGCAATCTGCCTGCCTCGGCCTCGGCCTCGCAGAGTGCTAGGATTACAGGCGTGAGCCACTGCGCCCCGCCTCTTTTGATATTTTTTTTTGAAGCATTTAAAAATGTGAAAATCATTCTTGACTTGCAAGTCTTACAAAAAGGGCAATGGGCCAGATTTAGCCTGTGGGCCCTGTTTTAAGAGTTTTTAAAATTTATTATTTCAAGGCTGAGGCAGGCGGATCGTTTGAGTTCAGGAGTTCGAAACCAACCAGAGCAAGAGCAAGACCCTGTCTCTACTATAAGTAGAAAGAAATTAATTGGCCGACTAATACATATAGAAAAAATTAGCTGGGCATGGTGCATGGCATGCAGTGCCGTCAGTCCAGTACTCGGAGGCTGAGGCAGAAGGATTACTTGAGCCCAGGAGTTTGAGGTTGCTGTGAGCTAGGCTGATGCCATGGTACTCACTCTAGCCTGGACAACAAAGTCAGACTCTGTCTCAAAAAAAAAAAATTATTATTTCAAAGAAATTGGGGGGGTACAGTGGGTTTTTTTACATGGATGTATTGTATCATGCTGAAGTCAGGACTTTCAGTGTACTGGTCACCAGAATATAGTGTACATTGTACCCAATGGGTAGCTTTTTTATCCCTCACTCCCCCACACACTCCCCCTTCTTAGTTTTCAATGTCCATTATACCACTTTATGACCATATATATCCTTTGTTTAGCTCCCACTTATAAGTGAGAACATGGGGTATTTGTTTTTCCATTTCTAAGATACTTCTCTTGGGATAATGAACTTTCATCCAAGTTCCATCTAAGTTGCTACAAAAGACATTATTTCATTCCTTTTTATTACTGAGTAGTACTTCAGGGTATATATTAATATATACCACATTTACTTTATCCACTCATCAGTTGATGGGCACTTAGGTTGATTCCATACCTTTGCAATTGTGAATTGTGCTGTGATAAATGTTTGGGTTCAGAAGAATTATTTCTGTCCTACATAAAGTCCAAAATGAGTGCTCCTGAGCAAGAGGTAACCCAGGGATCCAGGCTTCTTTCATCTGTGGCTCCACCCTCTTTCATTAGTCTGCTGTTACCTTAAGCCAATGGACTGGGAAAGAGTATGGAGATTTGTTTTTGTTTTGGGTTTTTTGCGACAGAGTCTCACTTTGTTGCCAGACTAGAGTGAGTGCCATGGCATCGCCTAGCTCAAGAACCTCAAACTCTGGGCTCAAGCAATCCTCCTGCCTCAGCTCCCGAGTAGCTGGGACTACAGGCATGTGCCACCATGGCGGTAATTTTTTCTATATATATTAGTTGCAATTAATTCTTTCATTTATAGTAGAGACCGGGTCTGGCTCTTGCTCAGGCTGGTTTGAATTCCTGACTTGAGCAATCTGCCCACCTCGGCCTCCAGGAGGTGCTGGATTAAGGCGTGAGCCACGCCGCGCCTGGCCTGGAGATTTGCTATAAGAGAGTTTTATGGGCCGGGCCGCTGTGTCTCACGCCTGGTAATCCTAGCTCGTTTGGGAGGGCCCGGAGGCGGGCGAGGTTGTATGTCAGGATTCGGGAAACCAGCCTGCAGCAAGAGCCAGACCCCGTCTCTACTATAAATAGAAACGAAATTAATTGGCCAACTGGATTAGGTATAAAATAAATTAGCCGGCATGGTGGGGCGCATGCCTGTAGTTTCCCGCTACCCGGAGGCTGAGGCAGAAGGATCACTCGAGCCCAGAGTTTGAGGTTGCTGTGAGTAGGCTGCCGGCCACGGCACTCACTTAAGCCTGGGCAACAAAGCGAGACTCTTCTCAAAAAAAAAAAAGAGGAGTTTTTTATGGACCAGGCCTGGAAGTGGAGATGTCACTTTTGCTCACATTCTTTTGGCAAGGACTCAGTCACAAGGCCACATCTAACTGCTGGGAAATAGTCTAGCTGTGTGTCCAGGAAGAAAAAGAACAGATTTGATGATTAGCTAGTTATCTATATCATGGTGAAATCAAATGAGGAAGTTCTTTATGTACTAATATGTTAGTTGTTATAAAGTAAGATACAGAACCACTTGTGTAAAAAGAGGGGAGAGTATATATTCATGTTTGTTTAAGTATGCATAAGCAATCTCTGCAAGGACACGGTAAGAAACTGATACCTTAGGCCGGGCGCGGTGGCTCACGCCTGTAATCCTAGCTCTCTGGAGGCGGAGGCGGGCGGATTGCTCGGGTCAGGAGTTCAAAACCAGCTGAGCAAGATGAGACCCCGTCTTACTATAAATAGAAATAATTAATGGCCAACTAATACATATACAAAAAATTAGCGGCATGGTGGCGAATGCCTGTAGTCCCAGCTACTCGGGAGGCTGAGGCAAGAGGATTGCTTGAGCAGGAGTTTGAGGTGCTGTGAGCTAGGCTGACGCCACGGCTCACTCTAGCCTGGGCAACAAAGCGAGACTCTGTCTCAAAAAAAAAAAAAAAACTGATACCTGTTTGGGATTAGGAAGTGGACAGCCATAGAAAAGACATGGGTAGGTGGGAGACTTCTCTGTATATTTCTGATGTTAGAAGTATATGAAATAGTCACCTATAAAATAAAAAAGCTGACGGAGGCCACCCAACCAGGCTGTTGATCTGAAGGTACTGAGCAAAGGGGGAAAATTTAGGTATTAATGTAAAGCCTTGGGATAGAAACAGCGGAGCAGAGAGAGCAGGGTTCAGAGCAGAGGCTGGGTAGCAAGGCCTAGAGAGAGTTCCTAAGCCCCTCAGCCGGCAGCTCCAGTGGCTTTTTATATAACCAAGCCCTGAAGGCTTCTGGGGACAAGCAGAAATAGATACTTGCAGAGCATGTTAGAGCGCGCAGACTTACTCTTTTCCTCTGGGCTTTGAATAAAAATCAGGACAGATATCCAGAGAGGAAGTAGAGCCTTAGTTCATTTCCAAACAAGCAGTCCTTACTCCAGAGCAAAGTGGACGGGCAGCAGGAGATCCCCCACTCTACCCTTAGCCCGGCCAACGTGTCATCCTCTTGGATCGATTTATGAGGCAGAGCTTCTAGAGGATGGAGGCAGCTCTTATTTGTGACATGCTCATAGACTAATGAGTCAGTGTGGGATCTGATAATTTCTTTCTATCTATCTATCTATTTATTTATTTATTTATCTATTTATTTATTTAGAGGGTCTTGTTCTATTGCTCGGCCTGGAGTACATTGGCGTGGTTGTAGTTAGGACTATAGGTGCATAACACCAGGCCCAGCTAATTTTTTTAAATTGTTTGTAGAGACAGAGGTCTCACTATGTAGCCCAGGCTAGTCTTGAACTCTTGGCCTTAGCAACCCTCCCACCTCAGCCTCCCAGAGGACTGGGATTATAGGTTGAGCCACTGCGCCCAGTCTATCCATTTATTTATTTATTCATAGATATTTGAATGTTTACCCCAGCCCAGGTGTTAAGTGGCAAGATTACAGAAATAAAGATGAGAAGCATGGTTCTCAGAACTCCTGCCTACAGAAGGCTGTTCAGTGTAAGGATTGCCTGACCAGCTGCTCTCCAGTAGGGAAGAGGTTCTTAATTCTTTGCACTTGCTTGCTTTTTTCGCGATTCCTTTATTCTACTCGGGATTTAATTTTTTAAATACCCCAGATTTTACAAAGTGCGGCAGTAGAATAAAAAACTAGAGATTCTTTTCATACAAACTTATTTATTTGGATTTTTTAATATTTCAAATTATTGATACATTGAAAGAGTAATTTTAATCTCTATAATTTTTGCTAACTGTGTTGAGTCACACTCGACATCCGAGTGCAAAGGGTTAATAGTGTGGTTTTGGTGGGCTTGCCCACTGTATTGTGCCTTTGTTCTCATTGTTTCACTATTTCTTCCTCTTACCCCTGATGAATTCCTAAGAAAGTAGTCCTGAGTTTCTGACTTGGCTAAGTTCTCCATTTTCCTCAGGGCAGCATCGACATGAGCCGCGTGGCTGTGATGGGACATTCATTTGGGGGGGCCACAGCTATTCTGGCTTTGGCCAAGGAGACCCAATTTCGGTGAGTTTCCAGGTGATGCTGCTGCTATTAGCCCCACACACCATCCATTTATTCAGCAAGTATTTGTTACCCAAGTATTATTCTAGGCACTGTTTGCAGGGCTGGGGATTCAGCAGGGAACCAGAAAACAGGATCTCTGAGTTCATGGAACTATGTTATTGTGGGAGGAAACGGACTAGTAAACAAGCCAACAGATAATAAAATCCCCATCACCAAGTGAAATGAAGAAAATAAAACACACCAGTATGTTAGAGTATCTGGAGACTTCTCAGGGAAAGTGACTTAAGCCAAGACTGGAAAGGCAAAGAAGCAAGGCACGTAAAGGTCTTGAAGATCTTTCCAGCTGCAGAATAGCTCATGCAAAGTCCCTGAGGGGGAGAGAAGCTTGCTGTGTTGGTGTGGGGGGGGGAGTGCAACTTAAGATGTGATCAGAGAGATAAGCAGGGGCCAGATCACAGGACTTTTGGGCAGGGTAAGGAAGTTTAGATTTTGTTCTAAATATGATGGGAAACCATTGAAGGATTTTAGGCAAAGAAAAATCAATCTTATTTACATTTTAAAAGATCCGTCTGGCTACTGTGTGAGGAAAGGATTGTAGCAGGACAAGACTGAAAGCTTGGAGGCTAGTTAGAGGGAGGCAGTTTCAGAGTCAGGTCAGAGATAATGGAATTGCATCAGGATGGAGCCAAGTGAATGAAGTCAGGATGAGTTGCACAGTTTTCAGGACTTGGTGATATATGAGGTGAAGGAAAGAGAGGAAATCATGTTTTTCATTTGTATATCTATTATTTAAGTGGAAAAGGATTGCTCCTTACTGAGATGGAGAAGACTGGAAGAGCATTTCAGGGGTTGGGGAATGGGGAGGTGGCTGAAGCTTAGGGCCATAGTTTTGCCTTTATGACATAGTTTTGCTCTTGGCAACAACAAGGCTTTTCCTGATCTCACATAGCACCTGTACAATCAGGGTAGTGAACTTAATTATTTTGTTACCTTGTCTATTCTGTCTTCCTGCTAGACTGGGAGCTCCTTGAGAGCAAGAACTCTTGCCATTTCTTTCTTTCTTTTTTTTTTTTTTTTTGAGACAGAGTCTCGCTTTGCCCAGGCTAGAGTAGTGCCGTGGTCAGCCTAGCTCCACAGCAACTCAACCCCTGGGCTCAAGTGATCCTCCTGCTCAGCCTCCGAGACTGGGACTACAGGCATGCACCACCATGTCTGGCTAATTTTTTCTTATAATATTAGTTGGCCAATTATGTCTTCTATTTATATATAGTAGAGACGGGGTCTCGCTCTTGCTCATGCTGGTTTCGAACTCCTGACCTCGAGCAATCCACCCGCCTTGTCCTCCCGGAGTGCTAGGATTACAGGCGTGAGCCACCACGCCTGGCCTTTGCCATTTATTTCTGTATCTGAAGCACAGGCCTAAGCACATACAAGGTATTCAGCAAATGCTGAATTAATGATTAAATGAGTGAAATGCCATTCTTTGGAACTCGAGTCAGTCACCTGAGAATAGATCCAGGAGAAGGAGGAGATCTGGTCCTTACTCTTAGGGAGTTTAAAATCTGGAAGGATCTTTGGTGACAGGTAAAAGTGATCCCTATGCAAGATCCTAACTGGCTTTCTGAGCCTTTAGCCCACCAGAGGGAAGAACTCTGCCTTTTTCCCCCTGCCCTGACTATTCTTCCTGGGTTTCTTTGTGGCAGTTCCAAATTTCTGGTCCTGTTCCAGGTGTGCTGTGGCTCTAGATGCTTGGATGTTTCCTCTGGAACGTGACTTTTACCCCATTGCCCGAGGTCCTGTGTTCTTTATCAATGCTGAGAAGTTCCAGACAGTGGAGAGTGTCAATTTGATGAAGAAGATATGTGCCCAGCATGAACAGTCCAGGATCATAACTGTCCTGTGAGTAAACCCCCAGGTCATAATCCCAGTGTCCTCCCCATTTTCTACTCAGTTGTGGCTCCCTTAATTTCTTCTAGAATATCTGGAACTTTCTATCCATTAATAGAATAACTGAATACTTCTGAATTTTAAAATATTAATTCCTTTAGAATTTCCTATTCCTCTTTTCCACTAAGCTCCAGTGATTTCTTCAGTAGTTTATGTGACTTTATGACATGACTTACCTGGTGCTTTCTGGAAAAGGGGTATTGTAGGATTGTGTGTTGGAGAGGAAAGAGTGTGGGTCTGGGTGGGTTCCAGAGATCACTGGCCTCATTTGGGAGTTTTATTGGGTCTTTTGAACAGTGTGGATACAGTAGACCCTTTATGTTCACCAGATAGATTTTTAGAGACCTTCATGAATACCTAAATCCACAGATCACGCTAACTTATGTTTTTTCCCAGGAACTAACTATATTCTGGCCAAGAGAAACCACATTCTCTTTGCTTCCATCACCAGCACCATTGGCTGGTTGTCTTTTGGGAGCCATTTTTCACAGAGTAAAACCACTCTCAGTGACTTTCACAATTGCACCGTGTATAGGAGGCTGTGGTGAGCTCCAGGAGCAGAGCCGAGGTCTCACTGACCTGCCCCCGCCCTGCACTCGAGCCTAACAGCACACAGGCTTCAGGGGTCCCAGTTCCTGTTCGGCAAAATCACAAGTCACTGTATGCCATGGACCTTCACTCAGGTAGTTGAAATGCCAAATCCAGAGCCCTTGAATGCCAGGTGTCTGCTGGAAGTTGGCTCCCTCCCTTCCTCATCTTGGCCCAGGCCGTCCCCTCCCGTTTCAGTTTGAGTTCATGGCAGCAGAGCATGACTTGTACCTTTCCACCAGGTCCGTGGAGTTCAGAAGGGAAGAAAGGTGGGGCCAGGCAGGAAGGGGCACACAAAGGGGATTTAACTACCAGCAGTGTACTATTGCAGGGTACTCAAGTATCCAATATATTATTTGTATGCCTTACATAATGCATTTTTTAAAAGTCAGTTTTTCTGTATGGTATGAGACAAATACTTTAACATTTAGACTTTCTTTCCCTCACTGAATCAACTAGCAAATATAGTTATATATAGTTACATAGTTATTTTAGCCCAAAATGAACCTGGTGAGCTTTTCACCTGCAAATTAAATATGCTTAGTGTCAAAACACTTAAGTTCTAACCCAGAAATCCCCTGTTACATGCACTAGCCCTCACTTTTTTTTTTTTCTTTCATTACAGATCCCTGTAGAACTCACTTTTCTTATTATTTAAATAAAGGCAAGTTATTCCTCTTCCCTGTCGATGCTGTGGTACAGTTCTGAAGAAGGAGCTAATATGTTGTGTGAAAGTGCAAAAGTCACTGGGTAAAAGCCAGGGCATAACAGGTTATAATCTAGGAATGGCAGGTGCTGCAGACCTCACCTCCCCACCCATCCCTGCTCCAGCTGGCTCAGCCTCCCCGCCCACCCCGTCCCCCGCCCCACGCTGTTGGGCATTGTGGTCTATGTAGGGTTTGAGCCAACTTTGAAGCCAGGTGCATTTGGGTTCAAATCCTGGCTCCATCCTCTACTGCCTTTGGGCAGTACATTTCTCTCTCAGATTCTATCAAAGGGGAAAATACTTCCCTCACGAGGTTGCTATGAAAATCAAGGGTGATAATGCATGGAGAGCACCTTGTACATAGTAGGTGCTTAACAAATACCTGTATGTCCCACCTCCAGACCCTACCAGTTGTTTTTCTTTTCCTCTAGTGGTTCTGTTCATCGGAGTCAAACTGACTTTGCTTTTGTGACTGGCAACTTGATCGGTAAATTCTTCTCCACTCAGACCCGTGGGAGCCTGGACCCCTACGAAGGGCAGGAGGTTGTGGTGCGGGCCATGCTGGCCTTCCTGCAGAAGCACCTGGGTAAGGGGAGAACCGGGGTTCATGGGGCAGTCGTGGGGTCCCTTAGGTTTCCCTGCAACACAGTGGTCTACACTGACAGGTCTGGGACCCGGGAGATTTACAGTGAGGGAGAAAGTTACATAGAATTATAGAAAAAGACACTTAATTGAAAGTGTGGAGCCCCTGACTCTGTCTCACCAGCAGAATGACCTTGGCCTAGTCATTTAACCTCTCTAACCCTTGGTTTCTGCACTGTATGTGGAACTTCACCTCTCTCTGCTCCACCACCTCTGTCCTAATCCAAACTCCTTATCACTCATCTTACCTGCATTGTGGGGGAAGTTATGATGATACTGGGCTACTTTATGGAAGTGTTTTAAAGAAAAAAGTGTGGAAGGATTATGACTAATATCATAAGCCACAGACTAGCTAAAGGGCAAGGCCTCCATGGGTCCCTGGTGCAGCCTCCACACAAAGGAGTTGTCCTGTCTTGCCTTCCCTGCCACGCAATTAGGCCCTCTCCATCACTGGAAACTTGGATGGTTGTGGGTTTTTTGTAATATTTTTATTTTAAATTTTATTCTTTTTTTTTTTTTAATTTCTTATGCTGAAGAACAGAACTTGGATGGTTTTAAAAGTTGATTTTCTATTAGCTGGGCACAGTGGCACATACCTGTAGTCCTAGCTACTCAGGAGGCTACGGCAGGAAGGTCACTTGAGCCCAAGAGTTCAAGACCAGCTTGAGCAATATGATGAAACCCCGATCTAAAAAAAAAAAAAGGTGATATTTTAGTTAAGCTTTTTGATTACAAAGACTGGAGGTTCACAAGTTTCCCTCGAGAAGAAAGGGGCATTTGTTTCTAGAGTCTACCTGGCCGAGGTGGGAAGTCCAGAGTTACAGGAACCAGGGTGGCTCTCAGGACCAGCCTCTTTGTCTTGGTCTGTCTCACAGGCTCAGTCCCTCTGTCTCTGAACATCTCCCTTTTTCTTTGTTCCATTTTCCTGTTTTCTTTCTACTCTGTCTTTTCTCTCACAGATAGCATCTGTTTATTCAGTTCCTACTTCCTCATGACATCACTTGGCTTGAACCACTCATGGCTTGTTCCCTCCACCCTGTGGCTTCCTTTCATCTTCAGCTCCCATTGCTCACTGCTGTATGCTTTTTGGATTTCTTAGATCAGATTCCCAAGAGAGAGACAATTTGATTGTATTATCCCATCTTTGCCTGCAGAAACACATCATAGCCCACTGCCCACCCCTCTTGACCAGATATCCCTTCCTGACCCAGTAAGAATGGAGGAGGATAGCATCATCTGCGTGAGACTGGTCCCTCAGCAGGTACTCTGCACAGGGCACTTTCCATCAGAAGGGAGCCAGGCTTGTCTGAATGTCTAAGGTTTGACCTAACTCTAACCTAAGAGCAAGAGCTGATAGTTTGTAACTCTCCTACCACTTTCCCTGGTTAACCCCTCAAGAGCTACCCAGATAATCCTCAGATCACACCTGGTAGCTCTTTAGATATGTGAAGTCCCCTATGATATCCTCTCTGAGTTTTCTGTTCATTAGGCTAAAAATGTCCATCGTACCTCCATGTGTTCCATGTTCAGTTCCCCATGTGGCCATTTGTCATCCCCTTCCTTTGAGTGCACTGTTTGTCAGTGCCCCTTTGTGTGGTGTCCTGACTTGAACATGACATGCTAGATAGAGTGCCCGGTATGGTGGGACAGTCACCTCTGTCCTCTGGACATGAGACTTCCAATCTGAGTATGTTCACATTTCCCACAAGTACACAACAAATTTGTTTTGGATTGAGTTTGCTTTTTTTAAAAATTCATTTATTGTGTTTAGAGGATGCTTTTTTTTTAAAAGATGAAGTCTTACTGTGTTACCCAGGTTGGAGTGCAGCAGCTATTCACAGGCACAATCATGGCACACTAAAGCTTCAAACTCCTGGGTTCAAGAGATCCTCGCGCCTCAGCCTCCTGGGTACCTGGGACCACAGGCATACCACAATTGCTTTTGAAACGTATCTGTCCTATTATGAATGTATTGATTTTTTTGAAGAACCTAAATTTTCATCTTTATAACTGTTCCTTTCATCTTGCATATCGTGAGCCATTATTCCAGCCTCGATTCAGAGACCTGAAGGTTAATAGAGACCTTGAAGCATCTTTCTTCTCACTTGGTAGGAAGGGAATGGATCCATGACTTTAATGGCACCTGACTACATGGTCCTCAGCCCACTTTCCCTGTTTCTTCTTGGGCTCCATATCATGTAAGAGTTTAAGATTAAAGATGATAGGGGAGCCCATGATAACATCATTGGGCTTCCTTTAATAGCAATGCCTATTGAGCTAAAATATTGATTGTTAGAAACCAGCAGAAGAGGAGATGGAAGGTTATTGAAGACTTACTTTATGCGAGGCCTTCTGCTAAGTACTTTAGATGTATTATCATGTGTAATCCTAGAGACAGTCCTTTCCAGTATGTACTCCTAATATTAACTCCATTTTATAGATGAGGATACTGGAGCTTAGAAAATTTAGGTAATTTGTCTGTGGCCATACCTGCCTGAATGTGCTCGATCTCGTCTGATCTTGGAAGCTAAGCACAGTCGGGCCTGGTTAATACTTGGATGGGAGAAATTTTAGATAATTTGTTCAGGGTCTTCTGGTTATTAAGCCGCAAAGCCAATATGCAACCCAAGCTGTTCAGTTCCAAAGCCTGTGACTTTAATTGCCGTGCTATACTATTGGTGACTCTGATGAGAATTCAGAGTGATAAATTCCATGACCACAATATGCACTCAGTTTTAGGGAGGCACAGAGGACAGGTTCTCTGACAGGAGGAGAAAAAGAGCCAGGGAAGGGGAGGTTTCCTGGACAACACTTAATTTTAATGGAGGGGCTGCACATGATGGGTCATGCCTGTAATTGTAGCACTCTGGGAGGCCAAGGTGGGAGGACTGCTTGAGGCCAGAGTTCAAGACCAGCATGAGTAAAAGTGAGACCCCGTCTCTATAAAAAATAGAAAAATTAGCTAGGCATAGTGGCATGTATCTGTAGTCCTAGCTACTTGGGAATCTGAGGTAGGAGAATCAGTTGAGTTCAGAAGTTTGAGGTTGCAGTGAGCTATGATGATGCCACTGTATTCTCTCCTAGGCAACAGAGTGAAACTCTTTCTTAAAAGGAAAAAAAAAGTTAAAGCATGAGGAGGGTTCACAAGCATGTAAGGGGCAAGGCTCTTCCCAACAGAAGGAACAAAGACTCAAGTGAGCCTGGCCAGTTTTGGGAAACTGTTTAGTATATCTGGAGGATAGTGAGTTGTTGAAAGACAGAGGAGTAGACAAAAGACAGCTGTAGAAGTCCATATATTTGCTAAAGTAAGTTTGAATTTCATTCCATGGTTATAAGGAGGCTTTTGTGGGTTCTAAGCAGGAGAATGTCGTGATTAGGCTTGTGTTTATAGTCCAGCTGCAGGTGAAGGCAAGTAAGAGGCAGTGAGATCAGGTAGGAGATTCAGTAATCCAGGTGATAAGAGATAAGAGAGTCAGAAAAAAGGCCTAATTAGCTTCTTTTTTTTTTTCTTCAAGTGGCAGGTCTCTCTCTGTTGCCCAGACTGGAGTGCAGTGGCACAATCATAGCTCACTGCAGCCTCAAACTCCTGGCTCAAAGCGATTCCTTGCTCGGCCTCCTGAGTAGCTGGGACTACAGGCATGTGCCACCATACTGGCTAATTTTTTTTTCTTTAAGTTTTTTGTAGACACAAGGTTTTGCTGTATTGTATAGGCTGGTCTAGAACTCCTGCCCTCAAGGCATCCTCCTGCCTTGGCCTTCCAAAGTTCTAGAATTATAGGCATGAGCCACCACACCCAGCCAAAATTAATAGTTTTATTCTTATTTTTTATTTCTTCTTTCTTCTTCCTCTTCTTTCTTTCCCTTTCTTTTCTTCTTTCGCTCTCTCTCTTTCTTTTCTCTCTCTCTCTTTTTTCTTTCTCTCTTTCTTTCTCTTTCTCTCTCTCTTTCTCTTCTCTCTCTCTCTTCTCTCTCACTCTCTCCTTTCTCCTCTCTCTTCCCTCTCTCTCTTTCCTCTCTATCTTCTTCCGTCTTCTCTCTCTTTCTCTCTTTCTTCTCTTCTCTTTCTTTCTCTCTCTCTTCTCTCTCTTCCTTTTCCTCCCTCCTCGTCCTCCCTCCCTCCCTCTTCCTCTTCCTTCCTTCTTCCTGCTTCCTTCCCTCTCCTTCCTTCATTCCTTCTTCTCCTCACTCTTCCTCGTCCTCCCACCTCTTTGCCCAGGCTAAGAGTTGCCAATGGCGTCCATCCTAGCTCACAAGCACCTCAACTCCTGGCTTAAAGCCATCGCTACCCCTGCCTCAGCCTCCCGAGTAAGGCTGGGAAACTACAGGCATGCGCGCACCATGTCTGGCTATATTTTTTCTATATATTTTTCAGTTGGCCCATGTAATCTTCTTTCTATTTAGTCAAGACGGGTCCCGCG